CATCTAGCCTAGTATCCGGTCTTCAAACAGTGCCACATGCATCAGAGGGAGTGAACAGAACAGGGCAATTATCGAATGATCCATCCCCTGTCATCCAGTCCCAGCTTCTGGCAGTCAGAGATTTAGGGACACCTAGCATATGGGCTTGTGTCCCTTGACAAGCTTGGGTAATTACAGGATATGGAGCCAAAGCAGCTACAGGTCTCATTCAAGATCTCCTACTGAACAAGTAATATAGGTGTTACTGATGGTTAAAAGCTTCAGTGCTCTGGTCTTGAGGCTAAAGCCACTACAGGCAGGCGACCTAATGTCAGGTTGGGGAGCTGGAAACACTAAATGGGAAGCGCATTAGCTGCGGATGTTTTAAGGAAGGAAAATGGTGTGGAGAGGTATTTTTTTAATTTGCACTCTCTACCTTCCATAAGCTATTGTAGGCTGGGTGCGCATCTTCATTTATGACAGAGCCTAAAATAAATCACATGGATACTTGTTTATTTTTGTTACATTTCAGACTGCTTGAAAGTGTGGTTTGTAAAAGAAATACTAGGTCTGGGAGATGGAAATCAGGTAATCAAGTAAACCCCAAAATCAAATAAAAGCAATTTGACGTTCAGTTAAGCTTGTTAATTAAAAGAACCTTAAAGGGTCCTTCTCGGTACAATGCAGAGGTTTCAAATCAAAGCCAAAATTGCTAGTGGCGTCTGTTCTGTTCTGGGTGGTCTAGATTAAGGCCCTAAGGTGAATGTGCAAACTGGCAAGGCTATCTAAGGCCTTGCCTCACCCCCTGAACTACTTGGATAGGAGCCACACTCAGGTGCATCCTCTGTGTTCCCCTGAGTGCCCGGACAGCTCCCTGGTAGCCCTCCAGTCCTGTTACTGCACCAATGAGGAATGGCTGCTGCACACTCCTATGGGGTGGTGGAGCAGGTATGTATGTGAACTCTGGGAGGTCTTGGGCACACTGCCCCCTGGTGTTGCCGCTGAAGCAATGCAGCTGCGTACTGCTCCCTACTCAGCGCTTTGCTTCACAGACACACTCTGGTCCTGACTTGGGGAGTCTAAACCAACGTAATCTGTACTGAAGTCCTAACGTGCAACAGCTTTTCTGAGCATTGGCACTAAATCTTCAAGGTGAAAATTTGCCTGGAGAATAAGAATACTATAATAATTAACAAAAGCTTCTTTACTTGGAGAAAAGAACCAGGTCTTAAAGTGCCCAGCATATTGGAGACCCCTATTTGTGAATACATTCTTTTATAAGGGAGTCACTCTTGGGGAATGAGAGGTATAAATTTAGTTTTTTGCATTACTATTCATGAAGAAATCCATCGTCCTTCATCTAAAAGATACAACTCAGTGTCAGGACAAAGGTGTTGGGGCTGAGGGAGAAAAATAGAACACTTGCTAAATAGAAATAGGCAGAAGTATTAAAAATAGAATAAAATATTAATGCATTGAGGTGCTGATATGGCTTCCATCCTTGTAATATCGAAGGGCCTCCCAAGCATTAACACGTTTCTCTTCATACTAGCCTTGTGAGGTATTATTATCCCCATTTTCGAGATGGTTAAGGAAGGCGTAGAGAGATTACACGACTTAACCATGGTCAGACAAGAAGACTGCAAGGAAGCTGGGAACTGAACAATGCCTCCTGGGCACAGGACCATCTTTTCTCTTACTAAGTGCTAGACATGGCGGTGTTCAGACCATCTATTTCGTCTATCACAGTCTCCATCAGAACTGCACCCGTTGGGAATAATGGACCTGAAAAATCATAGGGTGACATCCTGGTGCCATGGACGTCAATAGGAGTTTTGCCGTCAACAGGGCTAAGATTTCACTCCTTGGTAGACAAGGCCTAACAGACATCATAGCAGCCAAAGTATTTCAGCTTCAACCAATGTAACGATGAGAGTGGCTGTACGGAAAACTGCCAGAAAACGGTCACACTGTACTTTATACCATGGCTGTCACCATATAAGACAGAAGAAAGTGTCTTTTATTAGAATGTCTTCTGTGCCATTTTTGAACTGATTCTGTTTTATCACCTCCCAGTTTATCCTCCAGATTCCTTTGCTTTTCCCTTGTCCCCTTAAGTTAAGGCATCAAGTCTGTCATAATTCAGCTCTATTTCCAGGTTCGAGATCTTTGATTTGACCTGTGTCTGAAATAAAGGGAACAAAGCAATCTCTGTATTGCCTCAAGTGTTATTGACTAAACCGTTTTCCATTAAAATGCTGTCAGCAGTTTTGCTCTTGGCTTCATTTATAAACTCTACCACCAAGAATGTGTACATGTGAACATATATGCTGAATAGATTTATGGACTCTGTGTACAGAAAGCAAGAAGATAAATTGTGTTAACCACAACAACACAACAATGGGCAACCAGAAATTCTCAGCGTCACTTCAATAGGCACCACCGCAATAGCCTAATTTCTCCAGGTAATTATCCTGAACGCACATGCAAATGGTTGGTTAGACAACATATGCACTACTAATTATGACAATTGTCTGTGCAACTACAATAACTAGGTGTGCAAACGTGAAATCCATCATTGCACATGAAAATTTGCCTGGGCATGTTTGCAAAAGCTGGGCCTGGATGTCTACCTGAACCATATTTAAATTATAAAGAAGTTTGGTTTGGCTGTCGTTTATTGAAGCCCACAGTTTATTCGTGTAGTGGTTCAGGGCCAGACAGTGGCCTTCCTGTGTATCGGTGCACAATGTGGGCTGGGGGAAAGATGCAAAATGCAGCCTCTGTGCAGCCACAAATGCAAGCTTCATGCTTGCCTGAGCACATGGAGTGTGTGGGGCTAGGGCTGCTCTCCGCTCCAAAGGGAGCAGAAGAGGATGGGTAGGAGGTGTGGTCCATTGCACTGAAAAGGTACATTCCACATGTGTCCTGGGCAGTTCTGGAAGATGCACTAAGTTGCGTGCCCTCTGGGATAGCACGATTCAGCAAAACCTTCAGTGCAGGACTGTACTTATATGGCACACCTGAACCCTGAGTGGTTTTAGCGTAAAAGTGCAGATGAAGCCATTTCTGATGCTCCACAATGCAGTTCCTCCTTCTCCTCGCTGACATTGCGTGAATGCTGGAACTCTGTCCAGCCACAGAACCCATTAACGACCTCCAGAGCAAAACCTCAGCAGCCATTCACCACTGCCAGTGAGCAGTAAATGAAAAAGAAAGTAACCCTGTCCCTCAGAGAGAAATTATAACGCTGTCCAATCCCTCCCATGTCATTAAAAAACCAAACTGTCCTCAGGGACTTAAACGGTCTCATTTTGAAACCTCAAGTCATAAAAGTAGAAACCAGAGAAAAAATAGGCCATGTGTGTTCTTGGTGAAATCAGTGGAGCTGGTTGTGACATTTTAACATTATTGTTTCAAATGTGCTGTGAAAATGTCAATCTTTGCAGGGGGAAAAAATATTTCCTCAGAAGTTTGAAGGGATGAAAATTCATGATTTCGTCCAAAGTTTAGGCTTCTGCCATTTTCACCAACAGAAATGGTGAAATGGCAAAGCAAAGCTGAACCCTGGATCAAAGCTGTGAATATCTGTCAAAGACAAGGTGGGTGAGGCGATATCTTTTATTGGACCAACTTCTGATGGTGAGAATTAAAAGATATCACTTCACCCATCTTGTCGCTACAGCATCCTGGGACCGACACAGGTGCAACAACACTACATACAATATCTGCCAAAGTCTCTTTTCACACACACATCCATTTTAAGTGAAAAACTGATTCTTCTGCACAGCTCCAATAAAGTGAAGAATACTTTCACAGCAATTATTAATTTTACTATATGGTAAGGAAAATAAATTGGACTAGGAAATAAAAAGGGATGGATTTTGAGAAGACTCTCCATGCAAAAATTGAATTGCATTTGCATGCATAATTACTGTGACTGCATACACAAACAGCATTAATTGCACATGCAATTGAGATAATTGTGCACATGTTTTGTATTCACTGTTGTGTGCATAGGGTAGCCAAAGTACAGATCCAAATCTTTGATTGTACAGGTTATCCTTAGCATCTTGCTGCTTAGCTCTTGATCTGTTGGTAAAACCACAAGTTATAATTAAAATGGCTTCAGTATTTGGGCCCTGATTCAGGAAAGCTCACCTATTTGGGATGGCACTTTAGCACATGCTTCATTTTAAGCACATACTTAAGTGTTTTTCTAAATAAGGATGGACTTAAAGATCTGTTTAAGTGCTCCCACAAATTATCATGCCTTAAATTTGTCATCCATTCACTAGTGATGAGACACAAGACAAATAACATGGTCGGTTAAAAATGGAAAAAAACAATTCTGCAGGAAATTTGGCAGTTGTTTCTACTTTAGAGTTTGAAACAGAATATTTTTTTATTATAAGAATTATAATTATAATTATAATATAAGTATTATAATTGTTGATTACAATAATAATAATTTTGAGGTTTTCCCCCTGAGCACAATAAAATAAGTGATATCCAGGAGGTTGCTTTTACTTATGTTACTCCAACTTTTCCAAACTTCTCTAACTTTTGAATAGCTTCTGAGTAGCACAGTCACAGTTTCATTTTTCTGTTTGCCACTCTTCAACTTTTCCCAGGTTGAGGATTTGGAAAAGTTAGAGTGTGGCAAAGGAAAATGAAAAAAAGAAAAAGAATGAAAAACTCTCAAAACCCTAGATAGCATTCATTTTACTGCATTCATTGGCAAACATGGGGGGAAAGGGGGAAAGGGAAAAAGAAAGGAGAAAAGCAAAACAAAAAATTGAAAATTTGGGGGGTTGAGGAAAAAATGGAAAATTTTGTAAACCAAAAACTGTCTTGTGGAAGTTTTGGGCTTCAAAAGAGGCCATTTTTCACTGAAGAAAAAAAAAAAAAGATTTGGAGAAAAACTACAACCAGATCTAATGCTGCTATCTGTAATTCTACCAGGTATGTCCCAGAACATGTTGCTAACTCATTCAATGCTTAACATCACAGGTACATACGCAGGACTCTCACTCCGTGCTTCAGAGCTTGCACACGGCTGGGCTCCATGGACATGCTGAGCATCGCCTGCTGTCCTCCAATAATGCAGACCTGGTTTTCTTGTGCCGCTTGCTTGAACATGATGATGAGCTGGTTGGCGATGATACTATTCAGGACAGAAATGACGACCATTGGAAACACAAAGGAGATGAACGTGTTGACCTGCAGGAGATACAAATGGCAAACCCACTTAGGACTTCAATCAGGAGATCATATTTTATTTCACATGATATCGGCTAAACAGCATGCAAGGGAGATCTTTTCCATCCACGTAGGCTACACATTTAGCTTTTGGAATGCAGGACTTATTGCACAGAGGGGAATCTTAAACAATGGTGAAATAAGTTCACTCAAGTGGCAGAAAATTAGATGCAAGTGGCTAAATCAATCTTTCTCCAGTTATGGTGCCTTGCCCCTATATCAATGCAATGTGTTGATTGAAATAAACCATTGATCTTGTTATCCACATGACCCAGCAGGATACTTCTCAGCTTTCATAGTATATGGTAGTCCTTATCAATGTTTTCTGAATAGCAGTTTCTTATTGTACACTGTATTCTTTTCTTATCATGGACAATTCTTGGGCTCAGTTTTCTTCTATTGCATTCAGAATATTGGCCTTTCCTTGTAGATTTAATGATAGTTTTTTGTTAGCTGGTGATCAAATTATCCAATAACCCTTGTGCTCTAAGAATTAAAGTTGATCGGAGTAAAAAGTGGAAGTTGTATTGTTTTTAATAGAAATTATTTGGTTCCTGGGGTTTTGATAAAATTAAATGGAAGATCAAATTAACCAGTGATTGCCTCAAGTGGAAGGCACTGTTAACATCAAACAAACATTTGTGCAGTCTCACTGTAGTATCTACAAACTCAGCCAGGAAGTGAGTTTAACAAGCAACGGCTTCAAGAAAATTAGAGGCATCTGCATCTTGAGGATGCACTTTTAATCCATGCCAAGGCTCAATGTGATAAGGTCGCAACCACTTTATATTGCCACTCCAGTGTCTGAAAACTCTGGCTAATCTGCACAGCACAGTGAGAGAGAGCAAGAGAGAGTTAGGAGAGAGACTGTACAATGGCATTAAACTTTGAGCTGAAACCTGATGAGTGTATATCAGACTAACAAGCCTCTGTCTCCTATACATTTGAATTGGAAAGCTTATGATGTATTTCCCACCATGATTATTATGGCCTGATTCAAAGCCCATTGGGGCTAATGGGAGTCTTTATACTCCTAGGGCTTGTCTTCACTACCCGCCCGGATCGGCGGGTAGAAATCGATCTCTCGGGGATCGATATATCGCGTCTCGTCGGGACGCGATAATCGATCCCCGAATCAACGCTCGTACTCCACCAGCCCAGGTAGGAGTAAGCGCCGTCAATGGGGGAGCCGCAGCAGTCGATTTGCCGCCGTCCTCACAGTGGGGTAAGTCGGATCAGATACGTCGAATTCAGCTACGCTATTCCCGTAGCTGAATTTGCGTATCTGAAATCAATCCGCCCCCCGTAGTGTAGACGTAGCCCTAGATTCTGGCGACTGTACATTTGTAGGAATTGAAAGTGTTATAGGTCTAGGTGTAGGTAGTTAGCATTTATATTTAACCCTACCTCATTGGCAGTATTGCAAGAGAAATGTGTAGTTGTTAAGTGTCTATCACCCTTGGATCTTTTGAAACCTTTGTCCAGAAAGCTCAAATTTCTAGAGTGGAAAATGAGCTACACTGATTGCAAGGAAATCATTTAACTAGGGGGTTCTGTGGACATCATAAGCTACAAGAGCAGTGTCTGAGTAGTTTATGATATCCACAGGGAATTGTTTCCATCTTAGTCGTCTGTGAAGCACCACAAGCCATGAGCCTTAAAAAAAAGTAATGAATGCAACAGTTTTAAAATTTCAAAACATTTACAATTTAAACTATTTTCTACAAGTGACTGAAACCATTAAAACAGTTTTGTTAAGACAAAAAAATTATAGGGATTTTTGCCAGAGTCAAAATTAGCATTTTAATAGAGATCATTCTAACTTCATTTCCCAAAATGGCCAGGTCTCCATCACATCTGAATGGTCTAAAACAATAAATCAAAATCCATCATTTGAAAGTCAAACAAACGGATAATAACTTATTAGAAGAATGGTTTCGTATGCTGTTATTTCCACCAGCTATATCTCAATCTAATTCAGACATGGTGACTATCCACTTGGATGATGAGTGCATTATAAATGTCATGAAGGAATGGATAGATAGATACACACCACTTAGTTTTATGAATTATTTATACCAGCAGTAATGCAAAAAATAAGTACTACACAAACATTTGGATAACAGACACACTGCAATTACAAGTATTTACCTTTTTGGTTCATAAATCTAAGAAAGATGTAAGTCTAGTTTTGGAGAAGAGAGAAAGAATGTTGTTACCCACTTTTCTTTAGCTAGACCAAAAATTTGTATGTAATGCATAGCAATTTGCTCCAGAGCCTAATGTACTTTAACAAAATAACCAGCTGTGTTCCATCTCTAGCTATCCATACGATGAGAAGGTCTTTTTTGGCTAATGCTAACAATAGTAATGGAGTTCCTCTATGGTCAATTTCTTGAGGAAACTCCTAGATACAACTCATTAAGACTATCTGCTAATCACTCTTGTTCTGAACATTTTCTAAGCAAAACTCGTGTATCTTCTAAAAAAAGGTATCTTGCCTTGTTGGTACATTATACACTGTTGGGCCTTAAAAATGCCTCACCTTTTGAAATCCACCCCAAAACCGCAAAGTGCTCCGTAAATATTAAAGGTCAGATTCTCATCTGGTCCAAACTAACACAGTTCCATTGGAATACATGATGCTGTGTAGATTAACACTCACTGAGCATCTGGATCTACTTCGATAAGCTTCACAACGCACCTCTGAGGTAGGGATAAACTTGTGACATAGAAAGGTAAAACGACTTGCCCAAATTCACACAGCAAGCCAACAGCAGAACTAAGAGAAGAACCCAGGGGTCCTGACCCCCATTTCTGTTTCTCTAATTGCTGGATACACTTCTTTCTTACCTGATGCATAACTACTGCACTCAATAAAGGGAAATGCTTTACCCGCTCCCCTGTGTTCCAGAGTTTACTAACTTTCAGCTAGAAACTTTTGCCCCGCCCGTAAATTGGCTGCACACACAGCAATGACACAGGAATCATACAATATCCTTATAGAGCTCTTTAAAGCCCTGTTTCTTTGCTTACACCTCATTGCTATTGTACACTCTTCAGAAACCCTGAGAGACTATCAGGAAACTTACTGACTTTCTCTTTTAAGAATTTATAGTGACAAAACACGAAAATCAGATCTTGGCGGAAGGCAGTTACCTTGAAAGACTATTTTTTTCCTTTCTCGATTTATACCCAGGCTCTGATGATAAAAAAAAAATATAGACAGAATCAATGCCTCCCCCAGAGGCAGAAGGTTTTAATTTCTGTCCAAAATTATTTACAAGCACATCCTCCTCAAAGCAATGAATGCTGCTAAAAGCCCATCTCCTTCCTCCTAGCCCCAAGTATTCTGAGGTTTTATTCTAATTGAATTTCTTTTTAATCAAATTCTGTGAGCTCAGCCCCAAAACTGAGCAATGTGGTGGCCCAGCGCCACCTCATTTTCAGGAGAAAGAATGATGTTGCTCATAATGCCTGATCCAACTCTCATTGAAGACAATTGGAAATGTGCCATTGTCAGAGATGCAAATCTGGGTGTATCTGGCTAGCTCGTGGGCATGCATGTTGGAGTCTATGCATCCAAATCGTGCTTTGGGTGTGCATGTTGGTGCTGACACACAAGGAAAGAACCCTTTGAACATTTGGCTATAAGTGATTTAAATATTTCTCCAAGCAGACATCTTCTTTAGGGGCATGATGCCAACTGCAAAGTTCTCATTGACTCTGACAGAGGTAGGATCAGCCCCAATCCATGATACTGATGAACGCATGCACAGTTCAGACTAACTCTCAGATGCATCAGCAGCATTTGTACCATTATTCCTCAATGGTGAAGGAAAATATACCGACTAGCAGAGTAATTCTCATCAGGAAGACACATATCAACCACAATGAGTCTGCTCGCTGAAGAATGGCAACATCTTAAATACAGTGGTGAGCGTCTGATTACTGGATGCATACAAACACCTGACTGTCATATTTGTTCTGACTCACCGAATTCCTAAAAATACAGCCTCCTGAATAATGTTCCAAAGCCAATACAGAGTGTTTGCTGCCATATAACATCAGTCTCAAAGTTGCGTTTATGGCCTATGCTTTCAATGGGAATTAGGCACTTAACCTGTTTAGGAGCTTTTCAAAATCCCAGCAGGTGCCAATTTGTATTTTTAGGCACCTAAATATCTTTGAAAATCTGACCCCTTTTCTTCCTGTTTGTACAGAGCCTAACACATGGTGCCCCAACCTTACTGGGCCTTACTGCAGTTCAAAGGACAATGGAGTGATTTGTTTAGTCAACCCTTTACTCCCTGTTCTTTGGGTATACATGAAATTGACTTTTTTGATACCTGATTTCCTTTTAACTCCCTATTGCCAAGTGAGTTCTTAACTTCCACATAAACATCAACACATTTAACACCAACTGGGTTGGGACTTCATATGCTTACGAGAAATAAAACGGATGGAAATTTATAAAAATTAAATCAAATTTCTGATAAAAATAATTCATCAGCCCCACACAATCACCTCAATAAAATCAGGCTTCTCTGAAGTTTGTTTGAACTCTGTCCATGGAGCTGTGACTGTGGGTTTCATAGAAGTCACGCAGGCATGCCGCCGAATCCGCGGGACCGGGGACCTCCCGCAGGCAAGCCGCCGAAGGCAGCCTGCCTGCCATGCTTGGGGCAGCAAAAAAGCTTGGGCTGCCCTGCCTACAGCTTTGAGGATGTGTCTAGCTAGGGAAAGGAAACACTCATATTTTTTGCTTGGTTTCCTTTTCTTGAGGTGTAGACATCTGAGGCCTGATTCTCTTCTCACTTAAATCAGTTTTACACTAGTGTAATTCCACTGACTTCAAGGGGATTAATCACTCCTGATTTACATTGTAAGCGATAAGAGAAACAGGCCCTTAGTTTACTCTTTAACATTTTCTGCAGTTTGCTGCATAATTATGCGAAGGT